ATGGTTGGGTGAGGGCCTCTCCTGGGTCACAGACTTTTTGTTTCCTCACATGGTGGCAAGGGGCTAGGGAGCTTTCTGGAGTCTTTGTTAAATGGCATGAATCCCATTTTGGGCTTCACCCTCATGACTTAAATGCCTCCTAGGATTTCAACATATGAATTTTGAGGGGACACCAACATTCAGACCATAGCAATAATGTAAAGCTCCCACCAGTCTTCTAAAAAATCAGATCCCAATTGCAATTTATGCCATCCAGTGGTTTGTATACCACAGTTACCATGGCCAGATTATTGGACTGCACAGCAGAAGGAAAAGAGAAAGAAAAATGTTTTGTTGGGTGACACTCTGTGCCAGGCACTTTGTTATGTGCTTCATTTTTTATTGAAATATAATTGATATGCCCTAAATTTTACCCTTTCAAAATATAAAGTTTAGTGGTTTCTAGTATGTTCACAAAGTTGTACAACCTGCTATGTACATTTTCATTTTATTGATCCTACCAATCCCAGTGGTAGCTATCATCAACATCATCTGCATGGGAAGTACACTGAATCAGGCTCATAGAAACTAAGTAGTTTGCCCAAAGACTCACATGTATTTTAACAAAGGTTGATATGACTTCAAAGTCCAAGCTTTCCCACTGCATCTTGCCATCTAAGAAATGGTGAATTTTTTTTACCGTGTTCTTGATCATACCTGTGAACCCTGGGAAATTATTTTTTTAAGATTTTATCATTTTGAAAGAGAGAGAGAGATAGAGAACCATGTGTGAGTGGGGGGAGGGACAGAAGCAGGCGGGAATGGAGAGAGAGAATCCAAGCAGACTCCATGCTGAGTGCGGAGGCTGACATGGGGCTGGATCCCAGGACCCTGAGATCATGACCTGCGCTGAAAAGTTTAACTGACTGAGCCACTCAGGTGCCCCAACGCTGAGAAATTATAGTGTTATACTCTCTCTATTCAGTTTTCTCATTCACATAGTGGAGAAGATCATAAGGACCATCGCACTTTTACATTTCTATTGAACTCTTTCTCTGAGCTCCTTCACATATATTACCTAACTTGATTTAAATGGATATGATGGGAATTTAATATGCAACACTAACCAAGTACAATGAAATTCATATCTGTGTAAATTAAATAAAAGATAACATAGCTTAATTAAATGTTAGAGGCTTAATCCAAAATTATGTTTTCATTTTTAATCCTGGTGGCTCATAGGTCAAGACCTTGTACTATTTTAAGAAATTCATCTAAAACTAGGCTGAGAGTAAAGGATTCTGATTGTGCTAGAAAGGCCTGGAATGTGGCAGAAAGTTGTCAGAATATAATACTCAGTGTAATCTTTTCTTTGATGGTAAATTTTACACACTTTACAGTTGATCCCCCGAAATTGTCCTCTAAGAGATTTATTTCAAAACTCCATGTTCACTCATTAATATGTGTTGTTGAGGAAGGAGCACATAATCCCAAAGCTCATGTGAAATGTACCACTATTCTCTGCACATATTGCAGCCATGGTAACGGGAATGAGAGGAAGTAATGTTGTATTTCATGTACTTGACCTATGGTCCTTTTTCTCTTTGGATGGGCGCTTGTGCTATCAGTGTCAAAAATGTCTACTGGAAGGAAAGAGAAGTACTCCCCTCCTCCTGCACCACAAAAAAATAACTAGAGTAAATATTGCTAATGAAAACAGAGCATTTACTGCTTTAAGTAAGCTTACAATAGGAAATCAAAATGATCAATGTACAACAGTGGCTATCAAATGTGGTCTTCAAGGCAGTAATATCAGGATCACCTGGGAACTTGCTAAAAATGGAAAATCATGGCTGGACCCTTGATCTACTGAATCAGGAGCTATTGGGGGTGGGGGTCCAGCACTCTAATTTGACAAACCTTCCACTGAGCTGATGCTAATGCCTGGTGAATTTTGAGACCTGTGTTATTATAACAAACAGAAAAATAACAGTCATGCAGAGATCACAATATATTCAAATTATTTTTGAGCAGTATTCTATAGTACAATCATAAGATAATTGAGTTTGAATGGAATTCAAGAATACATTTGGTCCTAGACTTTGCGTGAAGTCCGGTGATACCTAAACAAAAGAGAACATTTCCATTCTCTTCTGAGGTACAGGGATGGAGAGTCCTCTGTTGCTCTCATTTCCACTTTATACTACTAGATATTGTAAAGATTAGAAAAATCTGGTAGGGTCCAATTATAGCTCAAAGAATGGTGTGCATGAGATAGAAATCAGAGGGGAGGAAACAAAGATGCTAATTATGAACTGTGTTTTATGATATGAGACTCAGTAACTTCCCCCTCATGTCTGACTACAGTCTTTAATCTCTGCAAGAATAGTTAGTAGCCTCATTTTGGAAATGTTCTAAATGGATATAGATTGACTTTTCTAATTTTAATGATTGGCAAAGTGAAATATTAGTGCTCCCAAACTAAGTTTTTGGAGAGCTAATGCAAACTGCACATCATATTAGATTTATTTAATGTATTTGTTTATTTATTTTTTAAAAAGATTTTATTATTTGAGAGAAAGAGAGAGCCTGAGCAGGGAGAGAGGGAGAAGCAAGCTTTCTTCTCAGGAGGGAGCCCAACTGGGGCTTGATCCCAGGACCCTGGGATCATGACCTGAGCTGAAAGCAGATGCTTAACCGCCTGAGCCACCCAGGCATCCCTTAATGTATTTGTTTAAATTAAAACATGAAATATGTTCTTTATTACATCTTTGGAAAACAGAGAAAAAGTAAATGGAAAATAAGTTACTTGTGAAGCCCCTGAGTTAACCAGTGTTAAAGCTTCCCACAGAGTCTTCTGGCCTTTTATCTATGCATTGTGATAAAATTAAGATTGACGAACCATGAGAGACTTTGGACTCTGAGAAACAAACTGAGGGTTCTAGAGGAGAAGGGTGTGGGGGGATGGATTAGCCTGGTGATGGGTATTAAAGAGGGCACGTACTGCCTGGAGCACTGGGTGTTATATGCAAACAATGAATCATGGAACACTACATCAAAAATTAACGATGTAAAGTATGGTGATTAACGTAACATAATAATAATAAAAAAACTAATGATGTAATGTATGGTGATTAACATAATAAAATAAAAAAAATTTAAAAAAGATTCTATGGTACTTGTAATTTTGTACTTTTGGCTTAATTAACCCAGCTTATATATCAGAAATACTTTGTGTCATTAAGAAATCATCATAATCACTGTTTAATGTAATCACATACTATACCAACATACAGATATATCATGATTTATCTATGTCTTTATAATTTGGGGAATTAGAACTATTTCCATTCTTTTCTTTTTTTTGCTATTCAACATAACTCTTTAATAAGCATCTTTGCACATAAGGCTATGTCTAAACTTCTAGTCATTTCCACTGAGTATTTTCCAAAAACTAGAATTATTAGGCCCAAGACCACAAATATTTTAAGGCAGTTGATACTTTTTTTTGCCAGTTTTCTCCCAACAATGCTGTATTAATTTTCTCTACCCACCAGCAGATCCTAAGATCTGTCTCATTTTAGCTTCACGAGCAAGGTTTTCATTTTGTTTTAATTATAAGTAAAATATGTTATTTCTTTGTTACATTAATTTGCATTTATTTCATTACTAATTAAGTAGAACATATATTCCAATGTTCATTCATTGTTTGTATCTGCTCTTTTAAAAATGCCTTGCTCATTCTCTCTACTGTCAGGGACTCAATGCTTTTCTTATTGATTTTATGAACTTTTTCAAGGATTTTTCTCTATTAAGAGTATTGAGATTTGAATCTACATTAAATAACACATTAAATAATAAAAAATGGAAGCAGTCAAATTGAACCCCAGGCAAAATTCAACATAAAGCCTTGTTTATAATTAGCGTCTTCCCCAGAGTGCTCAGTGGACAACCCACTCAGCCTTCTGTGCTCAACTTGAAACAGGGGGTCACCTACAAGGCCCCATCTCCTGCAACCTTTTACCATCGTCCTAGATCTGTCAACTGTGCTCCTCTCTAGCCTAAGCCATCATCAACTATCACCTGGATTACCGCAAGCATCTCCTGATTCCTGGAATTATTTCTGGCTCCAACTTTTTTTTTTTTTAATCTGGTGCCAATTTATGGAAGTCTGATTATGTCCCCTCCCCCTGCTCAGGCTTAAAACCTTGACGTAGACTCAGTACCTACGTATGGGTTGACTTGGTGTCTACCTACTGTCTTTAGTACAAGGCCTGGGTCTCTCTTCTTAAGCTTCATGCAGCAGCACCAGATTTCCCCCTCCTCTCTGGGGTCCACCCATGCAGTTTGAGCTTGAGTTTCTTTGAGTTCCTATAAATCACCATGCTTCTTTGACTGCAGAATTTTTGCCCTTGCTCTTTCCTCTTCCAGGAACATTTATTCATGGCTCGCCTCCCAACCCACCCTTTACCTAGTTAACTTGTGGAGGTCTCAGCTAAAATTTTTTATTAAAACTCCGCGCAGTGCTCTACCCCCAACCATCTAGATTAGGTTCCTTCAATATGTGCGTTCAGATATCTGTGATCCACTCCATTGTAGGACTTTTCTTATTGTAATTATGCATTAATTGCTATGAATTTGATTAATGCTTGTCTTCCTCACTATAGGGGCCAACTTTTTGTCTTCCTGACAAGAGGTGGTTTTACAACTTGGAGCTAGGTTTCCAGGGAAGTGAAACCCCTACCCTCCCAAAGACTGGGAGACAGGGGTGCTATCTTCCTTGATAATTACATTTCAAAGGGATGCCTTTTTGAGAAAGACATTCCTGTCCTGCAAAATTGGCAAGAGACTTTTAAATGATTTACATCTCAAAGGGACAGAGAAAGAATTCACAAGTCTTCTAAAGTAAATACTGGAAGAAAAGAGAAGTCAGAGTTACAGTCAAGAAGTCTGTCTAAATTTAGAGTGGCTGAGGGGAGCATTAAGGCTCTTCGGTCACGCCCCACATGCAAGTTCCCTACCTTCTGCTCCGGGTGCTTGCAGGAGACCACGCCGCTGAAAGAGAGACTCTTCACTTTTATGCTCTCAATTGCACATGACTTATAACTGATGCCCAGTGGGTGTATCACGGTACCTGGAATATTTCAGGGCTTAATAAACATTTGGTGACTTATTCTTCTCTAAGCCTCTTCCAATTTCTCCATTATCATCTAGAGAAGAAAACACAACCTGAGTATTGTAATGTTTTCTCTTTTTAATTAATAAAAAGATTAGTTCCTGGTCCTTATGTTTCACAAGTCTAATGTATCACTCTCTCTACTCTCCTGGGAGGCCAGGGATGGGCTTACTCTGTTTCTTCATCCTTCTTAACTCAATCTAAACACACTCTTCTTTCTCCTCTCCTCATTGTTTTTTGTTATTGTTCCTCTTCCTTTTTTATTTTTCCCCAGTTCTCTTAAACTTTCTTGTTAAGCTTCATCTAGTGAGACTTCTGGAGCTTCTCATCAGAGTAAGATCAGCCCAGGAAGTCCCAGTAGATTTTAAGAAATTCCCAGAGATGAGAGAAAGGAGAGAGGAGGGAGTGGGAGATGATGAAAATGAGAGAGTGAGAGAGGACAGATTATAGTATGCAACTTAAACCATTATCATAAATAATTGAGAAGCAATTGACACCCTTTGTGTTAGAGATAATGCTGGCAGCCTTTTTTAATTTTCACTGTGATGATTAATTTGGATTGACCCATTTATCTGTTCATCTGATTTTTAGCTCAGACTCCAGCTTATTACCATTGTGCAATTACCTTTCTTATCTGGCAATAATATACCAATAAGCAATAATATCCTTGCCTGAAACAATATCCCCATCTCTGAATTCCCTAACAGTTTAGTTTTAATTATTTTATTAAACCTACAACTCACTCTCTTTTATAATAGTTATAGCAATATGCATTTTCTCTTATGAAGACAGGACCTTTATCTTACATACCTTTAAATAAAGCTACATAAATCACCAACAGCACCTCATTTACTCAGTAAATTCCACATTCTCAGGAAATAAAAGAATAATAACATCAGGTAGAAACTTCTGTTTCCTGATCCCAAACCAACTCATTAAATATATTTTCATCTACGTCCTTCCTTCTCTGCTTTCTGATCTCAGTGGAATGGCTGCCATTTCCCTATCCAAGGCTAATTGTGCTCCCCCTGCCTGCCCTGCTTTGAGCTTTTCTGCCTCTCAAAAAGGTAGACATCTCTTCATAATGTATTCCTTCCCTCTCTTTGGTATTTTTACCTTTAACTCTTTACTGGCTTATTAAATATATAAAATACTCAACTCTCTCCTAACTTTAATTAATTAATTTATTTTTGAGAGAGAGAGAGTGAGAGAGAGGGCCCACATGTGAGCAGGGGGTGGGGGAGGAGCAGAGGGAGAAGGAGAGAGAGAACCTTAAGCAGGCTCCATGCTCAGCACAGAGGACAACGTGGGGCTTGATCTCACGACCCTGAGACCTGAGTCAAAATTAAGAGTCGAAGCTTTACCGACAGAGCCACCCAGGTGCCCTTCTCCTAACTTTAAGGGAGAAGAGAAGAAGAGGGAAGAGGAAGGTGGAAGGAGGAAGGGCTCGGGAGCGGAAGGTCTCTACTCCTTAGTACCTTGTACCCACAAAACCTTTTGGTTCTAAAACACAATATCCTTTGTCTTCAGGTTCTTTCTTGTCTGACTACCCTCCCTTACCAACCTCACTGATTTGCTATTTATTCTTGGAGACTCAGACTAAGTCATTTCTTTCCAGAAGTCTTCTTTGATACTTCCAGGTTGAGTTAGGTATCCCTTCACTGTGTCCACATAATAATTTCCATGAGATACTTTTATTGCTGCTTTATTTGTCTGCCTCCTGAACTAGACAACGAGCACCTTAATGACAAAATTATATCCTTCAGTACTGTCTCATTACATGCATGAACAAATGATAAGTACTTCATACACATTTGTTTGTGGCATTATTCCCACATGGTTTGACTTTGAAATAACATAGTATTTCATTTTAATAAAAAGGATATGACTAAATACTACAAGTGTTCATTTCTAGGTTCCCTTTAGAAAACATCAACCTTTTCTAAAAATGTTTTATAACATGTTTATTTTGACAAAAAAATGTAATGTTTCCCTCGTGAAATATTCACACACATATACAGAAATGTCTTCCATATCCCTGTCCTAATTCACTTCTACTCTCCAAAAGAAACCATTGCTAACAGACATACACAGATAGGATAGTTTAAATATGACAGAGGCCAGTTTGGAGTATTTATTTTTTCTTAACAAACAGTATTTTCTTTAGAAACTACTCCTGCCTGAAAATACTATTGCCTGTTGGTTCCCTCCTACTGCATCTTCAATCACTGCCTAAACTATAGCAGTGAGGGCAGTATATCCTGGAGTAGGGAAGCATTCAGTGGGTTGGTACTAGTGCAGTAGCTTCTGTTTTCTCTTTTAAGAAGTAAAAGATAAGAGAGGATCTGCTCCCTTTGGTCTCAGATTGGGTATTTTCTACTCAAAATTATATGTATATATAATATAATCCTTGTATGGTTCACCTTGGTGGTTCTTTAGGATTCCCCGCTTCTTTTCTCTGAATCCCTTTCTCATATCTCTGCCCTCACTGTTCCCTCGAGGGTTTTTTTCTACCTCCTGACTTGTCCTCAGGGTATTGGCTACATCAGGAGGAGCACCCAGATCCTTGCATCGCTGAGTGGTGACTATGTTCTCTACCCTGAAGGCCAGTGCAGAGATCTAGTGATTGTATATTGAAGGAAAAAGCCCTAGGTCTTCTCTTTCTCTCAAAGTGGAGCATCTATAAGTTTTCTCCTGCCAATATTGATTTCATTGTAATGAATAGGGTATCTTCAATGAGTTATTGTAAAAAAAGATACTTTTTTTTTTACACAGTAATATTAAATATTCTCTCCTAATCCAGAGGGAAGGGGTTGAGGGAATGCTGAGGAAAGAAGAAAGAAGGGGAAGAAGGGGTAAGAAAACACACACACACACACACACACACACACACACACACACACACACACTGGGTAAAATGTAAGTAAGTCACATCTTTAGAAATGAAAGATAAGCTTCATGATCATCAACTCTGGGAAATATATTTGACACATATATCTGTCATCACCAAGGAAAATCTATAATAAATAACAAAAGCATGCTAGAAAAGGAGTTCAGATTCCCTTATACCATGGTTCCCTTCCAAAAGCTGAATATTAATAACATAAATGTTTTGTTAAAAGGGAAAAATTCTCTTTAAGCTATGCTAAATTCATTGTGGCCTATAATTAGACATTGGGATTAGTTTTTTAGCTAAAATGCATCAAACACTACAAAAATACCTATTGTGTTTCTGATCCTATGCTAGGCCCTGGTCTTATGAAAAAGTAGGCTCTGCTCTTATAATCTAGGATCATAACGTAGACAGAATAACACATGCAATTCTGACAATTCCATGGCTGACAGATAAAAGGTACAGTTGGGGCACATGGGATGTTTGGGAGGAGAGATTAGATTTCCTAGTCTTCCTAGTGAAGGTATTATTTGAGTTGGTTCTTGAAACAGAATTTCAAAAATAACTTTATTGTGGTATAATTTACCTACCACAAAATCCACTCATTTTTAAGGGTCCAATTCAACAATTTTTAGTAAGATTTCTCAGTAGTACCACCATCACCACAATCCCTTGTGCCCATTTGGGGTTACTTCCCTTTCTCAGCCCCAGTCCATGGCCACCAGTAATCTACTCTTTGTGTTTATAGATTTCCTTCTTCTGGATAGTCCATATGAATGGAATTATGAAATATATAGTCTTTGGTGTCCGGTTTCTGCCACCTAGCACAATGTTTTTGAGGTTACTTCATATTGTAGCATGTATCAGGATTCTGTTCCTTTTCCCTGCTGAAAAGTACTCTATCATATGGATGTATTGTTTTTGTTTATCCTTTCACCAATTGATTGACACTGGGATTGTTTTAGAGTTTGGTTATTGTGAATAACACTGCTTTGAACATTCATGAAAAAAATCTATGTGTTAATATACTGCAGAGGAATTAGGTCAACCATGAAGTTTAAAGGGGGTACAATCCTCCACAAGATGGCCTCCTTTGCCTTATACTTCCTGTGAGTCAGGAAAATCTTCACAGAAGGAAATGTGGTCCAAGGAAAACGATATGGGATTAATTACTAAATAACTATATCCTATTTCCTCTTTGATTTGGATTTAAAAACAAGCTAATTCTACTTTTATCTAGATAAACAATCTCTATATACTTTAGAAGAAAATGTTTAGTCTCACCACAGAACAGAAAAGTCGGAGTAAAATGTAATATAGTTGTACGGAACGGGTTTAAAGTTTAATAGGATATGAAGTTTTAGAGAATCTCATTTTATATATTATGGTAAGTAAAGTAGGTAATACTTCCTGTGGTTCAATAAATCTATAAAGTTAGCTGCAATACAGCAGTGTTTTTAGCTGTAGAACACTTTCAGGCCTCCAGGGGATCATTCAGTGGGATGAAGTTAAAATGAAAGAGTATTCTGTCATAGCGATGTTACCTTAATGCAATTAATCCAGGGTAAACTTATTCTCGTGGTAGGTACATTTACCAGAGGGCTTACAGACCCACAGGAGTAGGACATTTTTCTAAAGCATATTTTATACTAAAACTAAATTGCATAGCTCATGAGTCAGAATGCCCAAACCCCATAAATTCTTAAGATAAAGCATGAAGCTCTAAAGACAATTCATAAATTCAATGGAAACTTTTAGGACTATGTTTCTAAGTTTGAGGGATACATATTCATTCCCCTCTGTTGCTGTTTTTAAGGTCCAAAAATTCTGAGAAACTCTATCCTATATGTCTCTGTTTAACCATTTTGCCTATACCTTCACATTTAAGTGAGGACAGTGGCTTTTCTTCCTCCTGTTGGGTATATGAAGCTCAACTGTTGCAGCACAAAATAGCAGATTTGTGACCTGACTTATTTAGGACAACTTTTTCTAATTCCAAGAAATTAAACTTTGGGCAAAGAAGTCCACTATTTTCACCATGATTAAGGATTTCATTCACACCTGGGAACAGGCTCCTTCTGCAACCTAAGGATGGCCAGGCCTCCTTTCATTGCCTTCCTAAGTATACCAAAAAATACTTC